GCATGTTTGTAGTAAGATGGAATTTTGTTGCATTTTGAAATAGGTAAGAAGAAACCACACTTGCCTCAATAAACATTTCTTTTGTTCCATTGGGAATTACTGGAGTAATCTGCCGAAAATCTTCTCCAAATATAACGACTTTTCCTCCAAATGGATCGGCACAATCCGTTATATCTTTCAATGTGTAGTCTAGAGCTTCAATTAGTTCTCGTCGTGCCATTGAGATTTCATCCCAAATAATTATTGAAGCTTTTCTTAGTTCTTGGGCAAGATTAGATTGTTTTGGTATATTGCATACTTGCTTGTCAGTAACGTTTAATGGAAGCTTGAATTTTGAATGTGTTGTTTGTCCATTAGGTAATAAAGAGGCTGCAACACCAGATGTTGCCACAGCGATTGCTACAAGATCTGTATTATTTGCATAAGCAAGTATAGTGGTATACAGAAATGTCTTTCCTGTTCCAGCAGGACCGTCAATAAAGCAAACGAAAGGCAAGTGATTGTTTAACTTTTCAATAACTGCATCATAAACTAATTGTTGTTCAGGATTAAGGTTTTCTCATGACGGGAATTGTGATGTCGAAATAGATTTGTTGCAGATATTTTCTTGTTGTATTTGTTGACGTTCGTAAGATGTTTCAGCTGGTGATACCTGTATACCAAAATCATGTAAATTAGTTCCAAATGGTGCTAAGAAACCATTTAAAATAACTGAAGCTTGTGTCTGTAAATTTGAGGTATTCCTTTCCAAAGTTTTATTATTTTCAGGAAAACAGAAAGAGTAGAATCTATCCCACAATATCTGAGGTTCGGCTGGACTACAAAAAATGAGTGTTGTAGCAAACAGTTGGGCAAATGCCGATGGTAAATGACATTGAGATGCTTCTTGAAATGAATCAATTATTACACTGTCACTATCTAATAAATTGAATGCCACACATGCAGTCCTAAAGCTCTCATATTGTATTCCATTAACAGTTTTTAGATCTTCGAAAGATGTTGGTGCTCGATAAAATTGAAGTAGCATACGAAGAAAGTATCTTTCATTCTCTGCTGGCCGAGCTGTTACAATTCTTCCAATAGCTGTTCCACGTTTTCTAATATTCCACATATGTGTATTGGTATCCCATACAAAGTGCTGTGGAACTTCTCTGTACAATAAATTTAAGGCTCTAGCATTTGAGTTATGTGCATTTATGTTAAAGAATTATGTTAGCATTGTTCTCGGATTCAGGCTGGAACTTATTATAGTTGATATTGAATTGTTTGTTTTAAATGATGTGTATTGGTAATTGGGTATGTGTAGTTGAAGAGCATGCACTGGAGGTTGCATTTCATTCAAGTTGAAGCTAAAAATACGCCAGCATGCTTCGGGCGGTGCTACTCAACGACCTGCCTGGAATGCTGAGATCTCGTCAACGTTGTGTTCAGCAGTGGAAGTGTCGATTGTGTATGCTACCCGGTCATGTCCTTTGTAGACATATTTATATAAATATTTAACAAGTTTAATAGTTGAACAAACTTCAACATTTATGTGACAGTCAAATTTTTGAAGCAATTTAGGACTGTAAGGTACGACCCAACGATTATCCAATATTCTTCCACGTGCATACGCAATAGATCCACAATCTCGTCTTCTATATTTTGGAAATCCGTTTTCTGTATGACTTGTTTCTTCGACAAAAACTTTGGATAATGGTTTTTACATTTGCCGTCAGACATGCATACATTGTCAGGATTCAATATTCCACAAGGACCATCTAGCATATGCTTGCAAACTAAATTGTACAAAGTGCGTTGTTTATACTGGTCTGGCAACTCAGCTGAAATAAAGGAGTCATAGGAAGATACACAATCTAACTTTGAGTTAATATCCATGATCAGCAGCATATGCATATGAGGAAGTCCTCTTTTTTGGAATTCAATTACATAGGAATAAGCTTTGACAACGCCGAGAACATTTTTTTTAAGTATATCATGCTTGATTTCTTCAACTTTTGCTCTAAAAGCTCGTGCAACTATGTCTGGGCGATTAGTGGAACTATTAGAATTGGATAAGTATGACTGAATTTCAGGCCATTTTGGATTACAAGTCATTGTAATAAAGAAGTCAGGTTTTCCAAAGGTCTGAACAAGTCCCATTGCGTCCATGTATCGACGATGCATATCTCGGGGGCCACCGATAAAAGAAGAAGGTAACACGAGAGGCTTTCCTATCATTGACAACTTGTCAAATCCATTGTTGTTGTAAGCATCTAGAATACCTTGATACGTATCTTGCCGAAATGTGTTTTGCGATTGTTGAGTTCGAAAGAAGTCAAGTCTTTGAGTTTCAATTTTAATGTATTACTACGTATTGTTGAAGTAAACGTCCTGCTTCTAGCAAAATAGTTGGACAAGAAGGTCTTACTTGTAACCGATAGCAATAGTACTCTCTCATAGATATTCGCCCTTTATCCATTCTTGCTTTCTTTGATTCTACGGAAAAAAATTTAATTTGTATTACTCTACAGAAATTGAAGCAGATTTATTAATGTTTATACTTTGATTCGTGGAACACTCACTGTTGTCCTCATCTACAGAGACTTGATTGTAGAAATCGCCAGCAGAAACTTTAGATTCTCTAACTGGTCTTTCATTATTTTAGAGTAACTCGGTATGCCAACCAGGTTGGCCATAGGGATGTAACAATGGATATTGAAGTGGACATAAGCAAATGAAAAATAAGAAACTTTTTTTACATTTCCATTAATAGGATATACCTGAATATCATGATGTAAATCTGTACCCGGATTATCTCCGTCTTGCCAGATGATAGATATATCATTTACAGTGGGACGATTGTAAACTTTTTGATTGAGACACGGATTTGTCCTCAAGAAAATCTTATAGTCATTCGTACAAGACATTGTATATAATTGTCTAAAGAAGCATGCATATGGATTTAAGTAAGAGGTCTTTATAAGTATAGCCACTAATTCAGGTAACAAATTCGGAGAGTTTTGCAACCGTGTCTGAAGTTCTGTATTTGAGTCGTGGTAATAGAGCTGCAAATTTTTCCTCTTATCAAGGGTAGGAGTTAGTGAATTTATGAAATGATGCATTGTTCCATTCACTCGGAATATGTACAAATTATGTTCGTTGCGACACAAATTTACGTCATACTTTACTCCAAGAGTGGAGAAAACAAAGGAGTTGTTATATGTACGAATATATGGCATCAACTGTTCAGACATTGCTCTCTGACCCCCCTGTGTCACCCACTCGCACTTGCCGCGGCCTATCGGTGGACACCTGCCTGTCTGCCACTGGCTCTCCCCCCTCGGGATTTCAGCGGGATGAGGACTCTGCTCTTCACGGCAGTTTTGCAGATGACTCGGAGGGCGACTCGCCCCTTATCAAGGATGGCCGACCACCCATCATTGACTCCTTATCTCTGTCCCCTCGTGACACTACGGATCTTCTCACTGTAGACTCCCCCGTTGACCCGGCTGACAGGTCTGCTCTCCCTTCTGATTCTGGTTCGCGGCCACCCCTCTTGCGGTCTTCATCGGAACCGCTTCCTTCTATTGTCGCTCTGTCGACGGAGTCGCATCCGAGCAGGGGGTGTGTATTCTGAACCAAGCTGCCGAACCCCCGTCTCTTAGTGGCTCTGCAGCCACAGTTTCAGAGGACCGACCGCAGATTCCGCCGAGGACTTTCTCTCGGCCGGTTACTCGCAGTATCTCTCGACAACAACGAAGTTCCTCCTGCTGCCCCCCTACTGGTCCCCAATGACAGACACCTTTATTCTGGTCTGGAATGTGCGAGGAATTGGTAACCCCAGGGCTCAAAGGGAGGTACATTGGCTCTGCAAGCAACACCATATCCGCATTCTCATCATCCTTGAACCTATGGTTCTGGCGGACACTGCATTCTTCTGCCGGAGGTTTGGCTTCTCCCAGATGCTAACCAACATGGCTAATTCTATCTGGATTCTTGCTGATGATTCCTATACACTGGAACCTATTTCGGAGATCGATCAGTGTCTTCATGTGCAGGTATCGTTTCCGCAACACCGACGGCCTTTCTTTCTTTCTGGAATATATGCGAGGTGCTCTATTACCCAGCGCCGCGATCTTTGGTCCTTCTTGCATGACACCGCAGCCTCGTCACTGGGATCCCCCTGGCTGCTTGGCGGTGACTTTAATGCCATCGCCGACATATCTGAACGGAAGGGCCCGGGTCGGCCTAAGTTGCGCTCCATTCAGGATTTCTCGACTGCAATCCTTGATGCGAACCTCATTGATGCTGGCTTTGAGGGTCCCCCGCACACATGGACTAATCGGCGGGTTTGGGAGCGCATTGATCGAATTCTTTACAGCTCCGCTTGGGAGGACTTTGCGGAGACCACTAGAGTCAGGCACTTACCGCGGATGCACTCGGATTATGCCCCGATTTTGGTCCGTTTCTCGCATGAACGCCACCGTCTTGCCTCTGCTTTCCAGTTTCAGAATATGTGGACCAGACACCATACTTTCCAGGATCACGTGCGACAGAGTTGGGTCATTCCGACAGGCACCACTGGTCTCATGAACCTGCGACTGAAACTTGGATGCCTCAAGCAGGCTCTGAAGTGGTGGAACAAGCAGGTATTCGGCAATGATTTTCAGGTACTGGCGGCAGCTGAGAAAGAGGCTGAGGAGTGCGAAGCGGACTTCGATCGGGATCCCTCGGACGCCAACCTCCTTCGCCGTCAGCGGAGAGCGGCGGCCTTGACACGTGCGATTGCACTGGAGGAGGCTTTCTGGAAACAAAAAGCAGCCTGTCGATGGGCAGTGGATGGAGAACGGAACTCCCGTATGTTCCACTCCATGGTGAAGGAACGATGCCGGCGAGCTACGATCTTCTCGATGAGGGACGGTGATCGAACCCTCACCGACCACTCAGCTATTAAGCGATCGGCTATCACCTATTTCTCTGGGATGTTTGGGTAGCCTGATGATGCAGACACATCGGGGATGGATGCTCTGGCGGATGCGCCGCCCCAGGTTCCGTTGGCCGAGTGTGCTCGTTTGCTGGCGCCTCCAACGCGTATGGAGGTTCATGCTGTGGTTTTCTCAATCGACCAGGATAGTGTGGCTGGCCCCGATGGTTTCTCTGCTGCTTTCTACCAAAAGTGCTGGGATATTATTCGGGATGATGTGTTCGATGCCGTCCTGGACTTCTTCTCGGGAGCTCCTCTCTTGAAATTCTATACGGCGACGACACTTGTGCTTATTCCTAAAACGGAGGGGCCAGTTGCATGGACTGACTATCGGCTTATCAGCCTCTGCAATGTGAGTTGCAAGATCATCACGAAGCTACTCACTGCGCGCCTTGGTCCGCTACTGCTGCAGCTTCTGTCGCCACATCAGAGTGGCTTTGTCAGAGGACGGGCGATTGCAGACAATATTTTGCTGGCGTCGGAAATGGTACATGACCTTAATCTGAGGGGGGACTCGCATAACTTGCTGCTGAAATTGGATTTGAACAAGGCATATGACCGGGTATCGTGGCGTTTCCTGCGACATGCGCTTACCAGGTTCGGTTTTCCGGCTCATTTCATCACCCTGATTATGAATTGTGTCGAGCACGCTTGGTACTCGATGTTTGTGAATGGGGATTTGGGCGGTTTCTTCCCCTCCTCGCGAGGCCTCAGGCAGGGAGACCCCCTGTCCCCTACTCTTTTTGTTTTGGCTGCAGATCTCTTATCCCGTGGATTGGAGCGCCTTTACAACCGGTACCCGGACCTGTACTACCGATGTCGTGGTCGTTTCCGGTTGACGCATCTGGCCTATGCGGATGATGTACTAATCTTTGCCAACACTAGTGGGGATCGAATAAGCCTCCTGACTGATTTTCTTTTGACCTATGCACGGACTACTGGTCAGAAGGTGAACTGTCAAAAGAGTCAGCTGGTCTTTAGCCGTCGATGCCCGGAGGGGATACAGCGGCAGCTTCAAGCAGTAACAGGCTTCGGTACGGCTGGCCTTCCTCTCATGTATCTTGGTGCACCGCTTTACGTGGGTAATCGGCGTAATATTCTCTACGAGGAACTCCTTGGGAAGCTCCATCGATATCTGCAGCGGTGGGACTGCTCAGTTCTCTCACATGGGGGTCGCCTGCAGCTGATCAGAAGTACACTTTTCTCGCTCCCCCTCTACCTACTACAGGTACTTCACCCCCCTCAGGCAGTCTTACACTCAGTGGAGCAGCTCTTTGCTCGTTTTTTTTGGGGTTCTTATCATGGTCACCGCCGCCGCCATTGGATCTCCTGGGCGGATGCGGCACGGCCACAGGAGGAGGGTGGGCTTGGTGTTCGCCGATTGTCCGATATGGCCCGAGCCTTCTCTTTTAAATTGTGGTGGCGCCTCAGAGACGGCTCCTCTCTTTGGGCTCGCGCGCTTCAGCACAAGTATTTCCGTAACTCCTTCCCAGGCTTCGCTCCCTGTCGGGCCTACGACAGTCCGGTTTGGAAGCGTCTTTGCCAGATTCGAGATGAGGCACAGAATCAGATCACTTGGAATTTGGGGCGTGGGGAGTGCTACTTCTGGTATGACACTTGGTGCGGGGACCGCCCCCTCTACACCTACCGTCAGGACCGCCCCCCGCCGATCCGAGTGCGAGAGATGTGGATGGATGGTTCGTGGGATTTGGTGCGTCTTCAGGCCTACCTCCCGGAAAACCTCGTTAAGCAGGTCTCTGCGATCCCTTTTGATCCCCTGCATGCTGACCAGCCGATATGGAAGGCTTCGGACACAGGTACTTTTACTACTACTTCCGCTTGGGAGATGAGCCGGACAGTGGGGGCTCGGAGCTGGCTTTCCTCTAGCCTCTGGTCGCCACTCCTTACGCCTACGATGTCTGTATTCCTATGGAATTTATTTCACCGTCGGATACCCGTCGATGAGGCCCTTTGGAGGCTGGGTCTCCCTATTGTATCTCGCTGCCAGTGCTGCCGGGAGTCCGAGACATTTGAGCACTTATTCTTCTCGTCGGCAGTTGCCCAGCGCGTGTGGCGCCATTTCGCAGACCTTTTCTGCATCCACCTCCCGCGAACTCATGCGCCCCACCTTATGGTTTCTGCTTGGCGCCTGTCATCCCCTCATACGCGGAGCATCCGTACTTATATCCCACTTCTGGCCCTCTGGTTTCTTTGGACGGCACGGAATGACGCCAAACACCGAGGTATCCAGATTTCATCTGACCAGATTATTTGGCGTATTCACTCTTATTTGCAGGTTTTATGGCGTGCTGGCATTCTTCAGTGTCAGCACTGGCCTGGGGATGTGCATCTTGCTTCTAGTCTCGGCCTTCGCCTCCCGCCTCCGGTTCTTCGGCCGCCGGTTTTGGTGCGCTGGGAAGCTCCCTCCCCAGGCTGGTTCAAACTCAATACTGATGGGGCATCGCTCGGGAATCCAGGCGCCACTGGAGCCGCGGGCGTTATTCGGGATGCCACCGGCGCTCCCATCGTGGCTTTCCAAGTACCCATTCTGGATGCGACAAATACTTTGGCTGAATTACAGGCGATTCGATCCGGCGTGGACCTTGCGGTTACGCGCGGCCTCCTCCCTCTATGGATCGAGACGGACTCTGCTAGCAGTATCTCCCTCATTTCCTCCTCGACGGGACACTGGACTCTCCAGCCTTGTCTCCACCATCTGCGTCTCCAGCTTCGCAACATCGAGTGGAGGATCTCCCATATTTACCGCGAGGGCAATAAAGTGGCGGACAATTTGGCAAACACTTCTGTTGCCCTTCCTCATACGTGGATTCTGGAGCCGGCATACATCCCCGCGAGGGCTCGTGGCTTCATCCATGCTGACGCGGCGGGCCTCCCGTGCTTTCGCTTCCGTTAGCTTTTATTAGTTGTATTTTTCTTCACTGTTACTTTCTTTACTTTTCCAGCACTTGTACCAAACTTCGCAGAACTACGTATAGCTTGATCCCGTTTGGGTACGTAGGCAGCTCCTTGAGCCCAGCCAAAAAAAAAAAACTGTTCAGACATATTATGGTTATACATTATGAGATCCCGAAGTATAGGAGGTGTATGAAGAGGTTCAAGAGAAAATGCACCTTTTCCACAGCAAAAAGTCATGGTCTCACGGTAGAAAAGAATTGCATGGCAATGATTACATGAGGGCACGCTCGGTAGATTCCATGTTGTGGAATTAATAGTATTTGTATGTGTAGATTGTCGCATAGCATCCTCACGTATCATTCTTCTTCTAACACTCTGTAAGTTAGAATTGCTTGACATATTTTGACACTTTTTATGGAGAGTTCCATGTTGAACGGGTTGGATTCTGTCGGTCAAAAACAAAAAAAAAATTGAAACTTGCCCTCAAGAAAAAAGAAAAGTACAAGAATGGGTCGGGCTAACATATGCTCAGCGTCATGAAGTATTTAACGAAAAATTGACTATTATTCTAAATAACTTGGCTTGAAAAAAGCTTTTAAACTTTCTAACCTCTCTATCCACGCTGAACTGGCGCCGGCAATCGTCAGCAACAAATATATGTGGAGATCAAAGTTACATTAATGAGAAAGCCTGATATTTTGTTCTAGTATGTACATATATATATAATGTCCAAGTGGGAAGTTGGAATACATACAAAGTATGTACATAATTTCAAGAACATACCTCCTGATTTAACCTTAAAAATTTAGCAATGATTCTAGTGAAAAATTCTTTTACTCGACTGATTTGACGTTTATCATTTTTATTATTGCACAAATCAGTAGATTAGTGAGAAGCTGACAAATGTCAAAACTATTTTACTCTCAAGAAATGGTATGTAAATAATAAATTTGTATGGGGATTCGGAATATTTGCTGTAGGACGATATTTTTAAACTGTTTATCGGAGGTGTACAGAGAGATTTGATTAGACCTTTGTTCATTTTTCTTAGAAGAGTTATTTATATGTGGTTCGATACAGAAAAAGAAGAGCATTAAAAAGTTGAAGTGGTTTGTAAGAACCTCATAGTATTAAACATGGCTGTCGTATAATTTGTGCATGGTTCGTACGTTAGGAAAAAAAAATTAATAATAACGTGTTGGTGGAGTCGAAGAGGACGCGTAATTTAAGGATTTGGTGAGCTACGAATGGTAGAAATGATCACAAAATTTCAGAACTGTCAAAACTAATTGATATAATTAGTGCTAGATAATAGGTAATAATTGCTTTTATAGGTTAGTAATGAGCAGGTATATGCATTAAATGCAAATCAGATATGTCAAGAATGACATTCACATATATATATATATAGATATAGATATATCTGTACTACGAAGTATGTAAAAATATAAATATATAATTTTTTAAATGTGTAAGCAAGGAATTTAAAAAATATATATATTATTTGTTAAAATATATTTAAGAAAAAAAAATTTAATAATTTTTTTTAAAAAAAATTTAAAAATTTAATAATTAGACTCTGACAGTTGGGTCCACAAATAAAACCCACGAAAATGGAAGTCGGCTTCTAGAGGCACATTTGAAATAAAAGGTCTGCTAATTGGTCGCGTAAGTAAATGAACAGTAGTTCACTCGTTTGATTGGGGCGACGAATGAAATGTCTGGATAGTTCATTGTTCAGCTGATTGAAGAGACCACATTGTGGTGGCTTGATGGGGCGGCCAGTAAGTCGTTTGGGATAGAAAGAGAAGAGAAAGAAATATAATTTTGATTAAAAAAATATTTTCTACAAAATGATATATATACTGAATTGGCCGGATGACAAGGAGGAGAATCGTCCAGTCGGTTGGGATAGAAAGAGAACAGAAAGAAATATAATAAATATATATTTTTTATATCTGTCCAACCAACCAATTTAAAAAAAAAAATTATTTTTCTTTGGATAACTTTTCAAATTATATTATTGTTGAGCACAAAAAATAATAATAATAATAATGGTAATAGTAGCAGGGTCTTAAAGGAGGTCGGGCGAAGAAAGATGAGATGGCAGACACGGAGGTCGGTCAAGTAGAAAGCGGGCAAAAGAGACATGGCAGTGGACATGCAGGTCTGGTGAAAGACAGTTCTGGGGCGGTACAGGTTTGGTGAAAGGCAGTTCTGGGGCGGTTTAGGTCTGGTGAAAGGCAGTTCTGGGGGGTTCAGGTCGGGTGAAAGGCAGTTCTGGGGCGTTTCAGGTCGGGTGAAAGAAATATAATATATTATATAAATATATATTTTTTATATCTATCCAACCAACCAATTTAAAAAAAAAATTCTTTTTATAATTTTTTTCTATTTTATTAAAAAATTATTTCCTACAAACTGATATGTATATACTGAACTGGTCGGATGGAGAACCGTCCAGTAGCTAGTCGGTTGGATAGAAAAAGGAGATCGGGCGAAGAAGGACGGCTGATGATGAGATCGGTTTAAAGAGGAGGTCGGACAAAGAAGGACGGCTGATGCCGAAGTCGGTTGAAAGAGGAGGTCGGGTGAAGAAGGACGGCAGACACGGAGGTCGGTTGAAAGAGGAGGTCGGCCGCAGAAAGGTCTGTTAATTGGTCACCCAATTGGTCTGAATATAAGCCAAACGGCCCAGAAGTCGGACAAGGAAAGATGAAAGCCAAGACAAAGATCGGGTGCAGAGGTCGGTCAATAGAAGGTCGGGTAAAGAAAGATGGGATGGCAGAGAATGGACTAAGAATATTGTTTACGACAAAATTCTACAACTTGCCGGCATAACATAAACAAGATTTACATTCTATGAATATAAACATATACAATAAAATGAAAAAAAAAACCCCTAAGAGAGAGAATCAGATAATAGACCTGTTGGGAATGGAAGACCCAAAAAAAAGCTCCCCCCAAAAAATTTTGTACCCAAAAAGGGGGAAGGAAACGGGCGTTTGGTCGGGTTTAGGGTAGAAAGATGAGGTAGGCGATACAGAGATCGGGGAAAAATTTGTCGGGCGAAGAAATGTCAGCTGGCAGACGCGTGCATCGGACAAAAGGAATTTGTGGAAAGAAATATGAGTCGGGCGCCCGACTGCTGGGCGACCGAACATGACACAGCCGACCTCTCCCACCATTGAGGTAAAGTATCTCTTAATACCTTTAACAAAAAGTTAATACTTACGTTCAATAAGTAAAATATATATGTTGTGATTTTAACACATTCCCTTCCATAAAATAGCCTTTTGTACTATTAATAAGTTCATGAGTTTGTATTCCACAAAATATTGTACCACAATAACCTTTCGTACATATTGTTAGGTATTACCTAACAATAATGATAACATTCGGACAGTCAGGTTCTAAAACATTTTAATACTCTAAATACTCTATAACACGCCACATTCATACATTACACATACTGATCAGTAACACTAACACGTTACCTATCACCTCAATTAAATTAAAAAACCAAAAAAACACGAAACATAGAAACAAAACAATCAAGCACAAGCTTAGTATAAAACAATATTTCTCTTCTTCTTCTTCACTACTGTACACAACAGTCTTTACTTCCTTAGACATAGTTTTAAAATATATCATATTAACAACTCTACTTAATAATTCAGACCGATTGTATCTTTAGTATCCAGTCATAATAACACCTACTTCCAGAAATACCTATAAGTAAAACCATTCAACCACGTCTCACAGTACATCTACCCGCACATTACCTGCGCAAATTACGCAGAAGTAAGACCCTACAACTGCACAGTTATAAAAATTAATGAAACACAAAAAACTCAATCGTTCACAATTCAACTTTATCACAATCCATTTTCGGAAACACCTTACATACTTCCAACTTATTTTTTGACCAACTTGCGATTCTCACACAAGTATCTGAAATGGACCAAGAGCAACAAGTAATAGATGTTGCCAACCTTACAGTGAATGTTCGAAAGTGGACCATTCGGGTTATGCTACTCGAGACTTCAGCCGAGCGGATTTCCAGTCGGACAGAAAAGGCCTACAAAAGATACATTTTTGTAGATGCCAACGTTTGTTCTCATCCTTACTCTCACCCCTTTAGTTCCTCAATGTTTTTGATTTCCTTTATATACCCAAAATTGTTTAAACATTTTTTAAATATTTAAGGCATTTTATTAATCAATGTAGGGAACAAAAATCCAAGCGTGTGCATTCGAACAGGATATTTGTAAATTGGATGAATGCTTAAGCTTATTTCAGACGTACGATATCTACGGAGATTTTTTCAAGCCATTCAGCACAACACTTTCAGGGTATAACCCAAATGTACAACTCATCCTGAACCAGAAGTCATGCATATCCCCAGTTTTTGATGCAGCTATAAACAGTCTTATCGGAAAACCATCCTTCGTCAGACTATCGAGTTTACAGGCTTTTTTGGACTCTAAGTCTTTCTTTGATAATATACTTTATTACTATCATTCATCCATATACTGCATGTCAAAAATTTCCTTAATAGTACAAACTTATTATTTAGCTTACATGTAACAATCTTTCATCTTCATTGCATTACCACTGACCTCTTACTTATGACAATGTCAAAATTATTATATCCAAATATATTATAGATGTCATCGGCATTGTAATCGATGTTGGTCCGGTCAAGTTTAGAGGGACCGACAAACTGCAAGAAATAACAATCGTTACTGAAGAGTAATTTCAATTTCTCTATCAAATAACATTACTAATATTTTTCAACCTCTGTGTAAAAGTTAACAAATTATTTCTATCAACAGGAAATTACCAACACAGTTAACTATTTGGAATGATCTGGTACAAGCAGAAGGATATAAAATCCACTCTCTACTTCCAGAAAGACCAATTATTGCAGCACTTAACATCAAGGCTTCAAGTTATAAAGGTAGCTTTACATTATTTTATCTCTAAACTAACAAAAAATGTTTAATGTTAATTTCAATACAGGGTTATTTTAATATAAAATCCCATCTCTGCTATGTTTAATGTTATTGTATCCTCTCTTTACAATAGCATATGTGTTGGTCATCCTTCATCATTAGTAACAAGTGATTTGATTTATTTATAATATATGACAATTTGTTCATTTCAGTTTAATGTTTTAAAACATAGCAGCACTTATAACATATTGCTCACAATACTATTTTCGTTGAGCTTTAAATTAGGGGTTTCATTGTCTGCCATGTCAATGGCTAACTTTCTGTTAGATCCACCATACCCGGAGAGGATGGCACTTCATCAATGGTAAAATTTAACGCATTATTATCGATCTCTTAGTTTAAACATACTTTAAACATTTTTAAATTAATACAAATAAATTTGGTTTAGGAAACAAGATGAGAAGGCATATCTTGAGGAACTGCTATCCTCAAAAAATTCTGAAAGTCCAGCACTTCATCCAACAATACCAAATTTCGGACTTTCAACAATAAAAGCAATGTGCGACTCACCAGTTAAGTTCCCAACCATTTATCATCCAATACTAACGTACATAGACCTTTTTTTACTAACTATAGTAAATTCAATAAGCAGGCAACTGATCATAGAATTAGAGGAACCTACAAAATCCTTGTACCAACAAACTTTAAGTTCTCATATGGTGCGTGTGGTAAATGCCACACATCCACAAAAACACCTGTTAACCACACATTCCATTGTTTTCGTTGTTCAAGAGTTCAAAAATGTGAAGCAAGGTATAGTAAAACTTTTTTCAGCATTTACTTCTAAATTCTTATATAACTAATTCATTTTCACAATTGCAGATACTTGTTGAACGTGGAAGTTGCAGACACAACTGGCTCCGTCAAATGCATTGCATATGAGAAAACTGTAGCAATACTTTTGGATTGTCAGCTCGAACTTTTGCAAGCCAGAACAGAAAAGGTACTATAACGCTACAATATAACACCTTTTTTAAAGCAGTTCCTGGAACATTAATGCAAATTTCAATATATCACATAACCAGGCAACTTTACTACCAATATAACCTTAGATTGGTACATACCTTTTCCAGGAGCTTATTTCACTGTGCGAAAGCCGCAACAAAGTTGTCAGCAATACCGAGTTCACCTTCACAATCAAGAAAAAAAAAAAAACAACGTTAGTAAAGTTCAACGCAGATAGTTATACTATCAACACCATGGAAGTATTGAACTTGGGTAATTCACTTTACTATGTCATTGATCTAAAAACCAAAAGTACTATCCGTTCTAAATTTAACATTCTAATGATTGTCTATTTGACCTTTTATAGCAGAAGACCAGCTGAATTTAGGTACAACTGATTCACCAACCCATATCAATCCGGAACCATCGGGACTCACTCCATCACTATCGCAGGTTACAACATCAGATTCACCATTTCATGCTCCAAATACAAGTTAAGTGATCATGTCCACCGTAAATGCATGTTATAATTGTACTTATATATATAACCATCTCAAACATAAAATTACTCTTTCATATTCACATTTACTTACAATGTTACTAATTTATATAATAGGGAGCATCCGCAAAAACCTCACACCATTGCTGATTGATGATGATAGCTTCTTGTCCACAAACCGCACAAAAAAAGAAAAGCAACCTGCAACACCCACCAAAAAGAGTAAACTCAGTAGCAAGAAATAGTTTCCATCAACACTAGCATACCTTTTGGCATATGCACTTTTTGCTGTACTAAAACAACTATGAGGACAAAGATTGGCCGTAGCACATTTCCACTTTTCCCATCTCAATGATTCACGATACTAATATGCACTAATTAATGCCTACTGATTGGCCAATATTTTTGGTTATTGAATAGTTTAGAAGCATATTTGTACTGAGCATTGAAGCCTACTGCTTACTCAATGATCGACGTTGACAATGTCTATTAATTCACATTTACTGCTTCGTCAATGTTTTCTTATTATTGAATGTTTTATAGACACCCTTAATGTATAAAATTGTATGGTTTTTATTTCAATAATATTCTGGTTTCTATTGTAAAGAAACTTAAATGGGTCATTTCCCTTTATTGACCTTACGTCCATAACCACATTTGAATACGTGTTGTAAACAATAACTATTCAGTAATGTCAAATTAACATATATTTTGTTTTATCAGTTTAACCGCCCCAGAACTGCCTTTCACCCGACCTGAACCCCCCAGAACTGCCTTTCGGCTGATCTCAAGTGGCATCAGTTACCGCACTCAACTGCTTCGGCCGACCAAAGGTCTTACTGCCTTAAATGGGCTGTTGGCCCGACCTATATGTGGTCCGACCTGGATATTATTTTCTTTGTCCATCATCTTGCCCGATTTCTTTTCACCCGACCTACATAATGTCCGACTTCGTGTCCGACATTATCGCAACCGTCCTTGGTGCCCGACTTTATCACATCCGACCTCCGTGTCTGGCCTTGCCACGCCCGACCTTATCAGATCTGACTTCCTGCCCGACCTTCTCATGTCCGACTACCCTGCCCGACTCACTCAGGTCCGACCTCTCTGCCCGAATGTATCACGTCCGACCTTATTGCCCGACCTTATCAGGCCTGACTACGTGCCCTGGTTGTACAGATATAAGAAATATATATTTATATAATTTATTATATTTATTTCTCTCCTCTTTCTATCCAACCGACTACCTACTGGACGGTTCTCCATCCGATATATTCAGTATATATATATATCATTTTGTAGAAAATAATTTTTTAATAAAATAGAAAAAAATATCCAAACAAAAATATATTTTTTAAAATTTGTTGGTTACACAGATATAAAAAATATATATTTATATAATTTATTATATTATATTTCTTTCAATCCCAATGGTCGCCCCAATCAAGCGACTGAACTACTGTTCACTTAATTGGGCGACAAAGTAACAGACCAGTCTTCGGCCGACCTCCGTATCGGCCGCCTCCTTCTTCACCCGACTTCCTCTTTCGATCGACCTCAGTTAAGACCCTGCTACCATTATCATTATTTTTATTATTATTATTTTTTGCACGTAACAATATTTATATAATTTATTATATTTTTTTATCTCATTTTTCTATCCCAACCGACTACGTATTGGACGGTTCTCAGTATATATATCATTTTGTAGAAAATAATCTTTTTAATAAAATAGAAAGAAAAATATCCAAAGAAATATATATTTTTTTAAATTTGTTGGCTGCACAGATATAAAAAATATATATTTATATAATTTATTATATTATATTTCTTTCAATCCCAATGGTCTCCCCAATCAAGCGACTGAACTACTGTTCACTTAATTGGGCGACCAATTAACAGACCTGTCTTCACCCGACCTCCGTATCGGCCGCCTCCTTCTTCCCCCGACTTCCTCTTTCGACCGACCTGCGTTAAGACCCTGCTACCATTATCATTATTTTTATTATTATTATTTTTTGTACGTAACAATGTTTATATAATTTATTATATATTTTTTATCTCATTTTTCTATCCCACCCGACTACCTATTGGACGGTTCTCAGTATATATATCATTTTGTAGAAAATATTTTTTTAATAAAATAGAAAAAAATATCCAAACAAAATATATATTTTTTTAAATTTGTTGGTTGCACAGATATAAAAAATATATATTAAATTATATAAATATTGTTACGTACAAAAAATAATAATAATAAAAATAATGATAATGGTAGCAGGGTCTTAACGGAGTTCGGTCGAAAGAGGAAGTCGGGTTGAGAAGGAGGCGGCCGATACGGAGGTCGGGCGAAGACAGGTCTGTTAATTGGTCGCCCAATTAAGTGAACAGTAGTACAGTCGCTTGATTGGGGCGACCATTGGGATCGAAAGAAATATAATATAATAAATTATATAAATATATATTTTTTATATCTGTGCAACCAACAAATTAAAAAATATATATATTTCTTTGGATATTTTTTTTTAATTACTGAGCTGTTGGATGTTCTTGAGAGTTGTGTTTTTTCAATTCTATTTGCTATTTTGTAGTAATTTACTTGTACAAAATATATTGATATGGATATCATTTTGTAGATCATAACGTTTTCTCTAATACATATCAAAAAATGCATTTGAAATTAATGGAGGAGTTTTTGAAGTTGTTGGGCACGCAAAACAAAAATAATTTTTGTCCGACCACGTATCGTTTGTCTCATTCTGCTTCGCCCGACCTCACTTGGTCCGACTCCGCATTAACCGACCTCCATATCAGTCGACCTCCGTGTCGTTCGACTCATCTGACAGCGGACCACACGACTTGCTCAACCGACTTCAGACTATCTGACCTATGTAACCGACTGAGAACCAACCGACAGCGGATCAGCCGATTGAGAACCAACCAACGGTGGACAAATTTTGCAAATGAGTTGATCAAATAACTTAGAGCAAGTTAAGTTAAGGTAATGTTTACATTTGTTACATAAAAATGCGACACACGTTACATAAGGAGCGCTTTCAAGGCGGTTACTAGGTCGGCCCATTTCTGTTCAGTGCGGGCCATTCTTCTTTGATGGACGGCACTTTCGTGCTCCTGGATCATCCTTGACCGAGCACTGGCTTGGAGTTGGTCATGGAGGCTAGCGCAAGTCTGGCTCTGCTCCTCCACCAGGCGACTATCCTCCTGAATGCAACCTTCTAATGACTCCAGCTGTTTCTGAAGGTTCTCGAGTTCCTTCATTTTCTGAGAGATTTCAGTTGTCAAATGATGGCACACTTGCTGGTGTTCAGTCAACCTACTAGAAGCTTCATTCAGTACCGTTGTCGCCTTTGACAGGGACGCCTCAATGGTTGCAGTGTCAGGGATGGGCTGAGACGATGCAGAGTCGGATGTTGGGGGTCGAATCAAAGGCAGGTCGATTTGAAGTTCAATGATCCTCTCCATCATCCGACTGAGGATTGGTGCCACGACAGACTCAGCAGGAGTCTGCAACAATAAATCAACGACCACCTGACGTAGAGAGTTTACATCTCCAGAGCTCAGATCGGCCAAGGAAACATCGACGCAGCGCAGTAGTACTGGTCAGGCAGATCCCAGTAATGGCACTTTGCTGAGGAAAGTAAGCTCACGAGTTGCCTATTTAAGTACCTCAGAGTGATTAAAGATTCATAAGTTAAAATAGAGTTCATAAGTTAAAATAGAGCTAATGCAGTGATATGGATGTTACCCGGTGGAGGACGGCCGTAGCTTCAGAAGGAGTTAGCAGAACGGGAGTTAGTGGGGGAGGGCCAGAAGGGTTCCTCATCCGACCAACCGATTCGGCGGCTGCGGGCAGAGGACCTATGAAGCCTGGCTCAGAACCCTGAAAATGTAAGACATCAAGTCAAAGAGAGTTTACCATACGGGGATGAAGACAAGGAAAAATACTAACCACGGCTTCGCTGTTCTGATTAACAGAAGGGTCGCCCTACTCTGAAGAAGAGACGTCGACTGGTTCAAAGTGTTGGACTGGTACAGGGTCTGCTTGGACTGGTTCAGGGTTTGCTTGGACTGGTTGAGGATCTGCTTGGACTGATGCAAGGATCGGTGGTTCTGGTTCTACGTTCGGTTGAACCAGGTCAGGGACCGCCGGCGGTTGGTGTTCAGTTATCGTTGGTTCGACCACTGCGTCGGCTGCCGCAAGCCCCTGAGATAAGGAATATAAGTTAAGACTCTAGATAGGAAAATAATCTCACAACATGCTATATGCTAACCGGGAGCACGGGCGGCTGAGGAGGGGTGCATGTCGATGAGGCAATCACCATGACCGTCGGGTCCTCTTCCCGACGAATCACTGACGGTGCCGCCGATGGAATGGCGGACCTTTGGCCGACCGGCATTTCCGGTCGGACTGGGAGGAGGTTGATGAAGACATCTGCCTCAATGTCGGGTCCTTGTCAAGACGCATCACGGGCGGCTCTTTCGGTATAGCGCCCGATTGTTCACCGTTCCGTGCTGCAGGCGGGGAAGAAGTTGACTGCGCCCAGGTAAAGAGGTAAAAGTTAGAAACCATAATTACGAGAAATGAAAGACTTTGGGGGGATTACCTCAGGGACGGATGGTGAATCGCCTCACAAAGCAGCTGGTAGGGCAGATGCCAAGGTAGTTGCTCGGGTGCTAGGCTGATCGGTTAGGTTGGCGCATGGTGGATCAACCGACTGATCCGTTTCATGTTCGGCAGTCTGGTCGGCTGGTTCCTCAGCAAGCGTCACTGAGGAAAAACCTTGTCAAGAATAAATTGAAGGAAAAACAGAGTTAAGGTTACGGTTTATGTACCCATTTGTCGCCGCACATTGGCAGGCATC